GCTTTGGCTACGCATCTCTTCACCATCAAAAATTTTAACCCCCATGTTCTTAGTTGAAAGGTGAGGGCCGAACCTCTCGTTTCTTGATGGCGGATCAAAGGCACAGGATTGGCGTGAGTGTCCCACCCGGCCGCACTTGAAACAGAGAGTTGGTAGGAATTCATACTTGAATCGTATCCAGAACCCTCCCATTTCATCATTCGTCGCCATTATTTGAGATCTCAGGGGTTGTGAGAAGTCAATGAGGGCTTTTACTTTTATAAATTTCTGCGCCGTGGAGGAACAGGAGAAGATTCCGGTTTCCAAAACTCGCCCTATCATCGAGGTCGCAATCTTGCGGCCAAACTGATGAGTACAGCATTCCTCCTGAACTTCCCAGAGCTGAACCCGGAAGGGGGCAACCGCGAGATCGTCGAAGGTACGCCGGGAAATCGCCGGGGTCCAAGCCCTCAGGTGGAGGATCCTATCCGCTACAATCCAAGGAGTTCTCTGCAGCACCCAGTTACGTGCTTCGTCGGACGGAAGCGTGAATTCCAGAAGTTCATGTTCCAGCTCTCGAACGATGATGCGTCCCTGTCCCTGCCAAGGCCGATTGATCGCGTCCCGAATTTCAGTGAGGGAGAGGCGATTTGCAGAAAATAGGCGGCCAATTAGCATACGGGACTTAGGGGCTCTGGTTGCTTGGACTTCTTCCAACGAAAATCGCACCACTTGATCACTGTTAGGGCGCGCCATTTCGGTCTTCTGCAAAATCAGGTGATTCGATTCTATGATCAGCGGGCATTCCACAGGGATCCACAACGACCAAGGGAAGCACCAAAGTAAATAATGAATGTCAAATAAGACTATGAATTCCGAACAGATTTGGAAATGGATGTCGACTAAGGACACAATCCACTCACCCGAAAACTCTCTTCGCCGCGGCGGGGGCTCTTTGAAACTGCGATCCTTCCTATTGTTCCTTTGCTCAAAGCTTTTGAACAGAGAAAGGTCGAGAGTCCGGTTTAAATAGAGCTGGGTGAGCGGCACTCTATAGAGTTTCTGAGGCCTTAGGAGACTAGGGGTATAACCGTGGTATTCTGTTATGAAGAGTAATCCCCATTTTCTCTTTTGAAATTTTGAACCGATTTGGCGGTTCGAATCCTTCTCCCCAAATCGAGATTTGCGGGATACGATTTGGTCATCGAGAGTCCTATGCTCTTTGGGTGACTTTCGTTTCGCCGATCGTCGAATTGTGGCCGCCGGGGAAAAGATCCCCATTCCTAGCCCGCGCCCAGCAATCGCCGGTGGCGGATTAGTCGTCACTTCCCCAGGCCTCGCCCCATTGCGGGATCTGAGACCTGTCACTAATCTTCTCCCCTTAGCCTCGTCAATTATGCCCGGAATAAGGGTGAAATCGGATGCTATCTCAATGCTAATTTCCTCATCCAATTCCTCTGACGATGGGAGTTTGAAATGCCATCTCTTCGGTTGGACTGACCTCGCCCCAGTCTGGGATCTGAATTCAGTCGAACGAGAGATATTTTGCCTGCCTTCTCCACAGGTATGATCCCTAGCCTCAATCGTAGGGGGATTCTGCTCTTCCCGATCTAACTCATCGGAAGAAGGGATAATGAACCGCCATCCCTTACGACCCGTAGGGGGAATTTGGTCCTCCATGTCTAACTCAATGGAGGAAGGGATAGTGAATTTCCATCCCTTACGACTACGTTCTCGCAGTCTAGCTTTCTTCTTCACCCGCACGTCGATTTGACTGGTTTCCAGTGTTGGTCGCCTTTTGTCTTTGCCCGGGTCTGGGTGCCAGTTACCATCTCTCCGTTGCGGACTTGTGGGCTTGCACAAAGGATATTCTGAAGAACACCGTTGCCTGTGGGTAAGATCCGATGTTGCATCCACCAATTTCCGTTCGTCCCTTTGCTTCCAGCGGTGGAGAATGCCACAGTCGATCCCTTGATTCGTCAGCGCTCTGTCCAATAAGCAAGCAATCGATCCTGAGATGAACCCGGCGGTCACCGTGAGCAAGCTTCCAATCGCCGACCAGTATCTTGCGAGGAGAGAGGAGAGAGCTCTTCGATTCATCATTTTTTTTTTTTTTTTTTTTTGAATTTTGAAATGATTGAATCAAACTTTGAGTACAGTAAATTCAAATTGGAGAAAAGTGGATGAATTCTCATCTTATCTTAAAATATATTAAAATAATTTAAGATTTTAATTTTTCTCACATTAGTCTTAATGATTTCTGCGCAGCCATATCATCATGTTATAAAACAAGCAAATCCTTACTTAATATTATAGTTATTCAAAAGTAAAATAGTGCCACATCAGCACTTCAAGTGCTCTCAGCCCTCCCCGTCATCCTTACTCACATAGAATCATTTAATTTATTTTCCTTATAAAATTGGATATCTTGGTTTCATTTTGCCTTACTTTGCGCAGCAGAAACATCCCTATTTATTGGCAATTATTATTGTAGGAAATGCTCCAGCATTTAACATTTTGTCTCAAACCGATTTATATTGTTGTGTCATTTTAAAAAGTGGTTCGACTAATGGTACAATTGATTTGTACCCGTTCATGCCGGTTTAATAGAATATGTACAAATTTGAAAAACCATTAATATCAAATGAATTTAAGCAAATATAAAAAATATTTGAAGATAATTTACTTATATTCTATATCCATATTTAAATAAAATACAACATTCCAAAAAAATAATAAATATAATATACAAAATTTAACATCAAGACACAAACTTTTATACCTAAATTCAACAAATAATTACAATTAACTTTTAAATTCATGAAATTAATCACAAATTAATTTTTTTCCTATTAAGTTCACTATAATGGTGTAATTGTATTTATAGGTCGAAAATCGATCATACAGATTATACTGGTAGTATTCAGACCGATTTCATGGCCGACATCAATTGAACTAGGTTCATCCGACGGTCATTCCACGGGCGTGACAACCATGCATTTTTGCCATTTCTTTCCCATAAAAGAGGATGGTTGTACCAACATTCTGGTACCTGAAAGGTAATTGAAGCTACCAGAACGTGGAAATGTTATATATCATCGATTATAGTCTAGACAATTTCAAAAACTAATTTTCAATCAATATAGCAGGTTGCAACTATTCACTTGCTAAACTAAATGCTAAGCTAAACGTATACATAGAAAGATCAAAATAATGATTGCCAAAAATAAAATAAAAAAGTTATTGTCCATTGCTACAAAAAAAGTATATTGTTGGTACATATTTTTTAGAAGATGTTGGTACATATTGAATATGCTCATGATATACAATTGTATATTTCTTTTGTGTCCACGGTTGAAATTCAAATAATTTTTTAATAACCTATTTTTATCAACTGGATTGTATCTTCGTCAATTTAAGCAGTATTTTAACAATTATGTATAGAAAAATGAATTGATTGTGATCTACAAAAGACTATCTATTTATATATATTTGGTTAAAATTTTCCAGTCGTGTATACCACCATAATATATATTTTTTAATCTTCATAACACCATGATATATACACCTTTATGTATGTTTTTTTTCCAAAATATATCACAGTAATGTCATTTTGTAGAGTATATTTATTTAATTTTTAAGCAAAAATACGAGAAATTAAAGGACAACCACTATGATTTCACTATTGAAAAAATTAACAATAATAAAAACATGCCGCCCATCGGGCGGGCACAAAACTAGTTCTTTCTTATAAGATTTCTCTTTCCTTTAAACTGTCCCCCGATCTCATCCTCCATATACGATTTTCCTTTCATTTTCTCTATCCTTTTTGTGGTAGTTTCTTGGAGATATGAGAAAGATAAGAAAGTTATTAGAATAATTTATTATCTTCTTTTTTGTGACAATTATTTATCATTAATAAAATATCTCCATAATATATTATCTTCTTTTTTGTGATAGCTATTTATTATTAATAATATAATAATTGCTTCTTAATTTATATATTTTATATCAACTTGAAAAATGTCATAATCTTTTTATTAGACAAAATGACATATGATTGACTTAACAATATGATATTGACTAAGAAGAGATATATGATTAGTCGAAATATATGCAAAAATTACGTGCACAATCTTAGGGATTAGGCTCTATAATTTAGGTATCTAAGATCTAAGGTTCACTCATCAAGGGTTAGAGTATGGTATCATGCCCAAAAATCTGATTAATTCGAGATCTAATAGCATTTTCTTACTCAGGATATGTCCTAGATTATAACTAAGGTATGATGGAAGCCACAAATAGTAATATATGTATTAGGGTGTCACATTAAGTAAGAATTAAAATAGTTACTTATATCTCAATCATTATATATATCCAATAGCTTAAGATTCGTTTGGAAATCTTGCTTAATTTAGGTGCTATGCATCTGAACATGTCTCAAGGTTGCACATCTACGCTCATGTAGGAAAAAGAAAGGAGTTTATGTCAACCAATAAAAAGAGAAAATAAATGAATTATAAGTACACCAGGAAAAAGTAAAGATAATGTGTTTTATAATTGCACATGGAAGAAAATCTAATCATGTATAAAAAAAAGGCTAAATTACACGTTTGGTCACTCAAATTATACAAATCTTTCACGTTTGCCACCCGAATTACTTTTCTTTCTTATTCGCCACTAACTTTACGAATCGTTTCACGGTTGGTCACCGGCCGTTACACTCCGTTAAGTCTGTCCTACGTGGCAGTCAACTATAAAGTTTGACCGTTAACTAGATGACGTGGAAATTAAAAAAAATAAAAAAATAAAAATTTCTTTCCACCTCATCATTTCAGACCGGTTCGGTTTGTGATTCTTGGGTGGGTGTGGCTTAACTAATAAATTAATAAAACAAAACAAAAAAACCTAAAGCAGGCTACGAATCCCTTCCTCTTCAACTCCTTCATTCTTTTCTGGGTCCTTCCGGCTTCTGCAGTGAACAAAGATCAAAAACAGTCCGGTGTTCAGCAACGAGACAGCAGAAACAGAGGAAATAGCAGAGAGCTTCCAGCAATGGCACGATTCAGGGGAATCCTGCCCTGAAGGCACTGTTCCAATCCGACGAACTACAGAGAAAGACGTTCTCAGAGCGAATAAGCTCAGGAGATTTGGGAAGAAACTCATAAGACATCTCAGGCGGGATTCATCAGGAAATGGCCACGAGGTTTGCTCCAATGCAATCGATTTACCACTTCAACAACGAAAGATGCAATCTTTTTTCTCTGTTTTTTTTTTTGTTTCTGGGTTTTAGTTTCAATGGCGGCACTAACTACTACTGCGACAAATCCTCCAGCATGCTGTGGTGTTTGTTAACGGAGATCAATACTACGGAGCAAAGGCGAACATCAACGTGTGGGCACCGAAGGTCACCGATCCTTACGAGTTCAGCTTGTCGCAAATTTGGGTCATCTCTGGCTCTTTCGAGAACGATCTCAACACCATTGAAGCTGGCTGGCAGGCAAGTTATATCCCTAAACCGAGTTTTGCATCTGCTTAATTATTGATTGGAAAGAAGAAGAAAAAAAGCTCACTTTGTGCGTTTGTAAATTACTCTGTTTTTGGTGGGTTTTGCAGGTGAGCCCTGAGTTGTATGGTGACAGCTACCCAAGATTCTTCACTTATTGGACTGTGAGTGTAAATGATTGATGGTTCGTTTTGGTTTAATGATCCCTTTTTCCGCTCTTCGTAGGTAAATGAGCTAAGGGCTGCTTTAGGGCCTTTGTCAGGTAGGAAAGCAAAGTACTGTACCGATGGATGCCTGCGGAGATACCTGGAAGCTAGGAACTGGAATGTTGACAAGGCTACTAAAATGCTTGAAGAGACTCTCAAGTGGAGAGCCACATATAAGCCTGAACAAACCCGCTGGGTATTCTGTTGCAATAATGCATCGCCTTCTTTTGTTTCTTGTTGTTGGACTACAAGCTATGGAATTTGGGTGGTTGCTCACTGGATCTACTCTGTTGCTGCACAGCATGAAATAGCACATGAAGGGGAGACAGGCAAGGTGTTTCGAGCCAATTTTCGCCATCGTGCTGGGAGGACAGTACTGATTATGAGGCCAGGGATGCAGGTTAATGTCAGCGTTACAATTAGTAATCTCCCAATTACACCTACCAAAACCAACCGAGATCGTTGCTAAAGTTATATTCTTTCCTTCTCCCTTGCAGAACACCAACTGTGCAGAGGACAATATCCGACATTTGGTGTATCTCATCGAGAACAGCATTCTCAACCTTCCTGAAGGCCAAGATCAAATGTCATGGTTGATAGACTTATCGGGATTCTCCTTGAACACCAACGTCTCCATGAGAACTGCTCGTGAAATCATCAACATTTTGCAGAATCACTACCCGGGGAGGCTCGCCCTTGCATTTCTGTACAGCCCGCCAAGAATTTTCGAAGCATTCTGGAAGGTCTGTTATCCTTCGTAGTCTCTGTTAATTGTGCGTTTGGGCCATACAGTTTGTGCGACTCAACAGAGGAGTTCGCATATCTTCACTGCAGAAGCCGGAAGGACCCAGAAAAGAATGAAGGAGTGGAAGAGGAAGCGATCCGTAGCCTGCTTTAGTTTTTTTTATTTATTAATTTATTAGTTAAGCCACACCCATCCAAGAATCACAAACCGAACCGGTCTGAAATGATGAGGTGGAAAGAAATTTTTATTTTTTTTATTTTTTTTTAATTTCCACGTCATCTAGTTAACGGTCAAACTTTATAGTTGACTGCCACGTAGGACAGACTTAACGGAGTGTAACGGCCGGTGACCAACCGTGAAACGATTCGTAAAGTTAGTGGCGAATAAGAAAGAAAAGTAATTCGGGTGGCAAACGTGAAAGATTTGTATAATTTGAGTGACCAAACGTGTAATTTAGCCTAAAAAAAAAGAAACTGGAATAGTATAAAAGAAAAGATAATGATATATTTTATTATGCGTGAAATGTACCAATTGGGAACGAACATATTTAAGCCATATTCTTAAACACATGAAATTGTTGTGTATCATTGTAGCATATGATTGAATTATGTTGATAAACCATTGGTGTCTCGTGATATTCTTACATGAATAGGTTATTATGACTATGGTTTTGACTTAACAAACCATTATTTTTACGAATAATCTAGTAAGCACACAAAAGATTGTTATTTTTTGTTCATCGTGATAAGAGTGTATTAGTTCAAATATTTATAGTAGTTATTTTCTAACAAATTTCAACCTAACTGTATTAGTACACATATTTATAGTAGTTCGTTCAAACAAAATATTAAATTCTTTGTGTTCTAGAATAAAAAAGAAGGTTATTCTTTGCTTTTTCATTTTTTAATTTTAAAAGAAAATCACAAGTCGAATTATGTAAGAGTTTATAAATGTGTACCAACTAAATCATGCTTTTTGGATTTTTTAATTATTTTTTTAAAAATATCAAACATATTATAAACTAAATGTTAAAATTGGTTATTTGTAGTTGTTAATGCCTAATGGTTTCCATTATTGCTGAAAAATAGAATACAAAATTTTAACCGTGATAGTTATTGTTGTGTAATATACAGAAGTCAGCCATTAAATAAAAATAGAATGTTATGCGTTGTACATATTTTTATAACATGAGTATTAATCTTATGATTATTTGCATCAAAGAGATTTTATAGATTAGTGGATTGATGGTTTGGAGCATATGGATTAGTGGATTGATCCATAGATCCAAATAACATCCAAGCCTTAGATGAAAATGTAAATTTTGAAAAGTTTAGGTACTAAAATGTCATAATTAAATTTTTAGGTACCAAAACGTAATTTCCAATGACATTTTTCATATAAAAATAAATTTTAGGCACCAAAATGTAAAATATAAAAAGATTAGGTACTAAAACGTAATTTGCCATTTAGATCCATGGATCAATCCATGAATCCACCAATCTTATTGGATTTGGATCATATGGATTGGATTTAAATGGATTGGATTAGTTGGATATTTAAGTGGATGGATTGGATTGGTGGATTGTATTGAGAATTGCCACCTCTAATTCTAGTGATTGATATACATGTTTTGTTGTAATTCATAACATTAAATATACTTTATCCTACTGGTTGAACACTTGAAATGATAATAGTTTGAACTCTCATAGGTCACATGTACTTATTTTAATGTAATTAATAACTTTAAATGTTAAAATTATAAATGATATGGAAAATTGTGGAGTTTTCTTTGTCTTACGTGGCCAAAACTTTCTCCACATCGGCCATAATATAAGTTAAGATAAGATAAGATATACAACAATTAAAGGTTGGTTCCTCCATAAAACACATTTTGAGCTCAAAGAGAAGTTGGCCAATAGGTGGACTAGAATATTGGCCTTTTCGGGAATAAAATTCCATGAGATATTCTTCTTCCGCAATAAGAAACAGAAGTACCATTCTTGGAATTAACCCGCAAAAGTCTCCCCGCTTTTTCCTTTCAAGTCTTCTTCATTCCTCTGCAGCTTAGAGATCAAAATTTGCAGTCTGTGTCCACCATTAAAGGCCTGAGGCCTCTCTTCTCAGCTTCAATAATTCCCACCCACACAGCGCTAACTTCTGCTTTTTCAGGGCTGCAACCTCCCTCTTCTTTCTGCGCAAAGCCATAAGAAGTTTCCATCGGAATCCCTTGCCACAGCTCCTGATTTGATTCTGTCTTCTCCAAAGGTTCCTGCATCAGTATTAAGTATATAGATGCCTTATGGTGGCTTGAACCACTGTTTGCAATGCCTCGATGTGCCATGCAAATCTGGATAAGGCTTCCTCTGTACATCAAGAGAATCATCTGCGACTAATTGTTTCTCATTTTACATTCCACGATCTTCATTTTATAATTCGCGCTTCCAAAATATATAGTTAGCAAATTCTTGACGAATCACAAAGAAAACGCGTTTCTGCGCTCCAAAGCGGGAGTGCCAGGCCTAGAAGCACGAATTGGGTGACCGAAGTCATGCTTCTCTATAAGTTTACCAACATTGTCCTCCAAAATATATCGTACCAATCATATACGAAATAATAACCATCTTTTGTTTCAAACATGTAAAATTCTTGAAGTACTAAGTCGTAGTTTCTCTATCAATTACGTTTGTCTTATCTATTGGTACATATCATACACTTACAGGATTGGTTGCTAACCTTGCCTTATAATATATTAATCCATCTGATTCGTGTATATGTTCTGAAGTACCAATGAGATCATCCATAATCAGACCAAATGAAAAAAGATTAACAACGATAAACAGTAAGTAAACTAAACAACAGGGAAAGGAGATACGTTTTATGCAGAAATTAATAGATACAATGTAAAACCTTAACCCCTATTTACCTTAGAAATTAAAAAAAAAACTCAAACCATGGTTTCTTTACTAACCTTGACAATATCAACAAGAACACGACAATATCGAAGAAGAGGCGATGACAAGAAGAGGGAATGTCTATCTATTTAAATATTTTTTTTAGCTTTTATAAAATATTTTTTTCCATGATATATGTGTATGCAACAATAGGCTAATGTTTTCAAAGTAACATATATGGTATTGTTTAAAAAAGAAAAATAACTTATGAAAACTTATCAATAAAATTTTTAGTTCATTTAAAAATAATAATAAATTATATTTAGACAAATATGATGGACACTTTCTTTATAAACAATTTTTTTAATGATCTATTTATGCAACTTTGTCTCTCTCCTTTTAACATTTTACTTCTTTTGCTTTTATTCAATAATAATTATTTTTCTTTTTTACTATTCCATTATATATGTGTATGCAACAATATGATAATGTTTTGACAGTAATAATTATTGAGTTTATTGAATTCCTAAAATTATATATGTGTATGCAACAATATGATAATGTTTTCAAAGTTAGATTTTGACCAATAAAGTGGACATTTTTTAATATTTCACTTTTTTGCTCCTATTCAATAATTTCTTTGTGCTTTTGCATTACATATGTTTAAACACAAAAAATAACTAACTAAATCTTATAAGAATAACTTACGTTTTGACAAAAAATTTAAACAAAAACACACATAAATAATAATATTTTTGTCAAATAAACAAAATATAACTAAAAAATAAGAAAAAAAAGCCTGATAATCAATTTACTTTGAAAAATGGTTTCTATATTTTTTGCTATCAAATACTCGCCTCTTTCTCATTTATATGTCAACCAAATAAACAAGTATTATATGGCAAAAGTCCTTAATAGAAACTTTCAACATAAGCAATTGATGACACAAGTTGCTAAGGTGCATAATTGTTTTACCAACAAAAAATTTATTTAATGATCCACTAATTTTCAAACACACACATAAGTATTTTTATCGATGCAACAACATATAATGTAGGAATGAGAGAAAACAAATGTTTGACAATCAATCAACTTTGAAAAAAGAACTATATTGTTTTATGTTTTTGTCTATCAGTCACTCTCATTCTTATCATCATCATTATGTGATGTCGTTTTATGAGAGTACATGTACTAGTAGTTACAAATTACATCAACAAACAACTCCCAACTTAAACGAAACGAAGCTACAAATTACAAATTTCTCTACCTCTCCTTCATTCTCCAAATCTTGTCTATATTCCCGCCATTCACCACGACGCACCATGATTGCCATCCCTTGTACAATTTGCTATAGTAAGCCTTTTCCAAAATCGTCAATGGAAAAACCCACACCCTAACTGACATAATCAATCATCCGCAAAGTCAACTCTGTAGTCCTCTTCTCCAAAATTGAAAACGTCTGTCGCGATGTCGACGATACCCTTCCATCTCAAAATATGATGCATTATCCACGTGTCCTTTATGTATTAGCGCTTAATCCTAGATTTCTTTGAAATGATGCCAATTCAACTCCCTCTCCTGTTTTAGAATATGCTTAATTCTAGAAGAAATATAGTCTTAGGTATTGCTGCTTGAAACTCACAGTTTAGCTATCTACTGCAGTCTGCAGATGTATGACGAGTTCTGCCCAATATTGTTAAACCAGTTCAAAACAAGGGAACATGAGAAGTTCGACACATTTGATGCAGCACTAGATGAGTTTTATAGCAAAATTGAAAGTCAAAGATCAGAGCTTCAGCAGAAGGCAAAAGAAGACTCTGCTGTTCAAAAATTAAATAAGATACGTACAGATCAGGTCTGTAGATTACCTCACTTTGATGTAAAGCGGATGGAGATTGTGTTTTTTCTTATTCTGTTGCCACTTTAGTCATGTTTGCTATATTGCAAACTCCAATTGCATTTTAAAGTATTTCTTGTGGTGTTATGATAGATAAAAATACTGTTTTATTTCAACATGTGCATAAATCAATAACTTTACTTTGATTTCACGCACATGTCTGATCTCATAATCCACCATAAGTAGAAGATACAAAAGGTATTAATTTAATGACTAAAATGATATTTATTTTGCAGGTACCATTCCTTACACCCGTCCCA